TTTGGCATTCTGTGCACAGCTTTCAGAACCCAGGCATCAGTGGGGGTTTTTCCTGAGTGGAGCTGCAGCCTCATGGCTGCCCTGAGTGATAACCTTGTGTCAGGTGTGTTCTCCAGGCTTGTCACTTGGCCACATCCTGTGGGATGTCTTCTCCTTGACTGTGGTCTGATTTTGATAGACATTTCTGCTAAGTGGACAAGGAATGCCTTTGTGAAGTTCGTATGTCTCCTAATAGAGGGGCCGGGAAAAAAAAATAAAAGAACACCGTGGTCCCCATGTTTTTAAGCAAGGAAAGCAGAAAGCCACCTCTTTTTCCAGGCCATCAAGGTATCTGGTGCTGTCTTTGGAGTCTTGTCCATCAGAGGCTCTCTCCAGCTTGGGCTCTGGAGGGAGTGCAGCTCTACGGGACTGGCGGTAGGTCCTCAGCGTGTGGAAATGCATCAGCTCGACCCACTTTTCTGTCACAAACCAAGTGGGGCAATAAGCGAATCACATCGAGAGCCCTTTTTGCCACTTGAGTCATTCTCACTTCCATTGCTGGGCCTTTGTCGGAGTCCTTTGTCACTTCTGAAAATGTTATTTCTTAGGAAGTAAAAGAACAGTATGGCCATGGTCAGTGTTGCTAGTAAGTTCTGTTACTTGAGGCACATTTACTATAATAGAAAAATGTGAATCTGACCAGTGTGTTACAAAGCTGGTTACTACCACAACCGTCAGCTTTGTCCCCACGGCACCTGCACTTCAAAAGCCACTGTGTTGGGGAAACAGGATGAACAGTGCTGTGCTACGCTGATTTCTGTTCAAAAGGAAAGAGGAGAGAATGAAAAAAAGCCATGTGGTTGCAACAGGGCTCTCTGCAAGTGTTGTTTCCACACTGGTCTGGTTTGTTGGTCAGGGATCTTGGTCAGGGATGTTCTGTATTTTCTCTGTGTATCTAGTTCACATGACTTCTTGTTCAGCCCTGTCTCAGTCAATATTCTTCATGCTCATTTAGGTTAAATGTGCCTTTTCTTCCTTACCGGTGTCTCTGCTTCTCAGAGGCTTTCACACTTGGTGTGAGCATCCTCTACAGACATGAAAAGATGTGAGGTCCCGGATCCCTAGGATCAACATGGAGCAGCTTTCTGGATCACTAATTTTACTCACAGACTTTTGGGAAACGTTGTTTTATATGAAATAGTGATCTAACAATGGAGTTGTGTGCTCAGTTTGCATACATTTTAAAGATAATGCACGATGCTTCAGAAACATTTTGTGCTGGTAGCAGATGCCATAAGCCACACCCCTGAGACTCCTGAAGTGGGTAGTATTATGGGTTGAATTGTGTCTCTCCAAATATGTTGAAGTTCTAACTCCTAGGACCTCAGAATATGAACTTATTTGGCAATAGGGTATTGCAGATGTAATTCCTTAGGTGGGCCCCTAATCCAGTGTGACGGGCGTCCTTATAAAAAGCGGAAATGAGACACAGACATGCATACGGGGAGAAGGCTGTGTGAACGTGGAGGCAGAGATGGGGGTGATGTGTCTACAGGCAAGGATGCCAATGGTTGCCAGCAAACCCCCAGAAGCTAGGGGAAGGCCTGGAACAGATCCTTCCTCTCAGCCTTGGAAGGAACTAACCCTGCTGACACCTTGATTTCAAACTTCTGGCCTCTGGAATCGTGAGGCAACATATTTCTTTTGTTGAAGCCCGTGGTACTTCGTTACAGGAGCTCTGAGCAAACTAATCCAAGGGGTCAGTCTTTTCTCTTGCTGGAGGTGCTTCATGGGCGGAGTTTGAGATCCCCTGAACTGTGCCATTTAGGGTTGGACAGACCCAGCTTTGGATTCTGGCCATGCCATCTACAAGTCATGTGGCCTTGGGCACGGATCCAAAAGTCCCATTGTGAGGATTTACTTATTTTTAAAAATTTTTAATTTTTTATAAATTTATTTGTTTTATTTATTTATTTTTGGCTGCGTTGGGTCTTCGTTGCTGCACACAGGCTTTCTCTAGTTGCGGTGAGCGGGGTTTACTCTCCGTTGCGGTGCACGGGCTTATTGCGGTGGCTTCTCTTGTTGTGGATCACGGGCTCTAGGCGCGCGGGCTTCAGTACTTGTGGCACGCGGGCTCGGTAGTTGTGGCTCGCGGCTCTAGAGCGCAGGCTCAGTAGTTGTGACGCACGGGCTTAGTTGCTCCGTGGCATGTGGGATCTTCCCGGACCAGGGCTCGATCCTGTGTCCCCTGCATTGGCAGGCAGATTCTTAACCACTGTGCCACCAGGGGAGCCCCTCCATTGTGAGGATTTAAATGAGAGGATGAGTGTGATAATACCAGGCACGGGACCTGGTAACCTGGTGGGTTCTCGGTAGATATTACTCCTGTTTCCTTTTTCCCTTCTGACCTTCTTGTCCCTAGAGGTCATTTTGTCAGAGACACAGGAGCTCAGGAGCCCTGGAGAGGTAAGATGACATCCTCAGTCACACCATGAGCTGGTGCAAGGCTGAATATCAAATCCAGGCCACCCGACTCCACACCTGTGCTGTGGTTCCCTATGATGTCATCTTTGGGGGGCTCCTCACCCCCTGCTATAAAAATTCTCTGCACGTTGTCTCCCACAGACAGTTGCAAAGGTGATGAAATAGGTGACACTCTAGGCCCTGGGTGCTCTTTGTACCATCTAGTGAGAAGTTCCTGCTATGGGTTCTTGCATTGTCCAGAAAGACTTCTTAACAGAAGAAATGCCTGTTACTTTATTGCTTACTTTGTTCTTCTTTTTACATATTCTTTAAAAAAATTTTTTTAGCTGAAGTATAGTTGTACAATATTAGATAAGTTACAGGTGTACACTATAGTGATTCACAATTTTTAAAGGTTATACTTCATTTACAGTTATAATGAAATATTTGCTATATTCCCCGTGTTGTGCAGTATATCCCTGTAGTTTAGCTTATACCTAATAGTTTGTGGCTCTTAATCCCCGACCCCTATATTGTCCCTCCTTCCCTCTCCCCACTGGTAACCACTAGTTTGTTCTCTATATCTGTGAGTGCTTCTTTTTTTGTTGTTATATTCACCAGTTTGTTGTATTTTCTAGATTCCACGTATAAGTGATATACAGTATTTGTCTTTCTCTGACTTATTTCACTTGAGCATAATGCCTTCCAAGCTCATTCATGTTGCTGCAAATGGCAAAATTTCATTCTTTTAATGGTTTTAATGGTTGAGTAGTATTCCACTGTATATATATACCACATCTTCTTTAACCATTTATCTGTTGATGGACACTTAGGTTGCTTCCGTATCTTGGCAGTTATAAATAATGCTGCTATGAACAATGGGGTGCATGTATCTTTTCGAGTTAGTGTTTTGTTGTTTTTTTTTTGGATATATACCCGGGAGTAGAATTTCTGGGTCATATGGCAGTTCTATTTCCATGCTGTTTTCCACAGTTGGTGCACCAATTTACATTCCCATCAACAGTGTATGAGGGTTCTTAACATGTTAGCACAAAGTAATTATTCCTCATGAAAAGATTATATTTTGTTCAAAAATGTTTTGCAATGTTCATTACAGGAAAAAAGGGCTTGGGCCTTTTAAGAAGAAACCAACTATAAAGTCTGAGGGCTGATCAAGGTCCTAACAACTGCGGAGGCCTGTCCTGCAGGAACACAGCCGGATCCATAGTAATAAGCCATTGATAAGCAAGGGATTAAATTAGTTGGTGGTGACCAATTTCAGATGCAAAGTGGCTTGAGTTACATCTTCCTGATAGAGGAGCGTATTGGGGAAAAATCAGTTTGCAGATTTAGGAAGGTTGCTTAAGTTATGATTCAGTATCGATAAAGATCAAGGGTTTGGAGTCAAACCTGCACAGCTCTCGCCCTCTGCAAGAAAGCTGGACACCCTCCAGAGGAAGCTACAGTCTCCTTCCCCAGAACATGCCCAGGGCACCTCTCCACACAGTGTTGCAGACAATTGCAGGGGGTACAGGTTTCCTCCTTCCACTCACTCTTAGGCCCCCCAACCTTGGGTTAAGAGCCATCACCCTCTCCCTTATTGGCCTCTTAAAAAAAAGCTCAGTGCTAGGTTAAAGGAGAGTTTATGATTTCTTTTCTATTTCATGCTAGAGCTGACTTGGGAAAAAAATTGTGTGGCCTGGAGTGAAGAATACTTATTGGTATAGTAGTGCTGATGAAAGAAACTAAAATTCAAGGTTTACTGAATGAAAAGAACAGAAGAGTTGGGAAGCTGTGGCTGGGTTTCAGGCTGACAGTGTGTGGTCCTGGGGCTTTGAGTCAGTGGCTGAGCCTCTTTCAGCCTCAGTTTCCCTGCCTGCACCCATGGAAGTAACAGTGCACACCTCACAGCTGCCTTGTGAGCAATAGATGGGACAATATCCTCGATCTTAATGCACCGTGTAAACTGTCGTATGAATAGAAGGTGATATTAATATGGAAAATAAAGTTAGTGACAAAAATACCTAAGCATTTATATTTTTTAGAACTTTGTTCTGAAGTTTGAGGACTTTAATACACTCTAATAAAAAGTATATTTCATGAAAAGAAAATGGGTCCTGTTCTATCCCATGTTTGAATTTCTATATCTCATGGAAAACCTAACCTGGAAGTTGCAAACCAGCTCCCAAATGTGTTATTTCGCTTGCAGGGTGTTAAACAAGTTTTGTTTCGTTCATTTTTTAAATCAGCTGCAACATTTAAAACTAGAAGTTTTCTTATATAAAACGAAAACAAAACCTAGATTTCAGCTGCTTTGGGGGAAACAGAAGCTGAATTACTGGCGCAGCTGTCTGGGATTTCCCAAGACTTACTGCTCCCCACCTTGGATTGTTTGCTACCTCAGGCCAGCCATACCCAAGGCACCCCCATCTCCCTGGTATCACTTTCCCAGTAGTAGGACTAGAGTATCAAATAGCAACTCGATTTGAAAAATCAAACCCGTAAAGAGACAGCAAGTGCCATAAGGATGCTCAAACAGGGGCTGTCTGGTCTCCTACCTTTAGCTGGGTCTACGTGGGTCAGTTTGGGTGAATGTGGCCGGCGTGGACAGAATTCCTTTCTCGTAAAGTGCGCACAGGATCCCTGTGAGGATTAAGTTAGATGACATGTAAACACCCTGCAAGAATCAATGCTTGGTAAATGATAGCTCTGAGCAGGGCATCAGGGCATCACAAAGATTCTGACGAATAATCTGCAGTTCAAACTCCAGAAGTGATGGCCACAGTCAGGCCGCAGCTGAGCACCTGGGGGGATCCGCCTGGGGAATAAGGTGCCCCCTGAAACCACAGTTTCTGAGAACAAGGATGCAGGCCTCCAGACTCACACAAGAAGACCAGGGATCCAAGGTGGAAACAGACCCTCGGTGTAACACAAATGCCCTTTGCCTTTGGTAAATCACTCCTATGTCACCAGGCGTGTTAGAAAGCTCAGGAGATGTGAAGGGCCACACACAGCAGATTTGATGTGTACCTGTTTCTACTCCAAAGAAATATTAACCAGTGACAGCTTGGTGCCTTTGCCCTAAGCACTCATTCCAGTGCAAATGCACAACTGACTTCCTGCAGAGAGCCAGTGACCAGGAGCCTGAAAATCCATAGGGCAGCCTGGGCGTCTCCTGGGTGGGAGGGAGGCAGCCACTATGACCCTGATTGGCGTTATCTTGGAAGGTACCGCCAATCCCTAGAAGCCATGTCCAGGAATGATCTCCCCACTTTCTTCTCCCTGCCGTGGATTCCTCCCAAGTCTGTTTTTATAGGAAGTTGCCTTTCTTCTATTTCTTCTGAGCAGAAGGGGACCATCCCTGGGTTGAGCAAAAGATGAGTAAGTGATTAGTGGCTGCCGTAAAGGGATCTCGTAAAGCATTTATGTTGTCACACAAAAAGGATCTGGTTTTTACACATCTGTCTTTTCAGTTCATTTGTGGCAGGTAGAAGGCTGCCAAAGTCATTTTATGACGCCAGGGGTAAGGCTCACTTTAGGAAATGGGGTAGCCAAGGATCTGGTGTTTCCCCACACTGTTTCCTCCTTCATCTCATGACCTGACAAAAGCAGCTCTCTGAGTCACACGCTGAGTGGCCTACTATTGAGGAAATAATCCATTTGCTATGGTAAACTAGGGATGTCCCTTAGAAAGAAAATCAGGGCTTTTCCTGGGTGGGTCCTGCCCTGGAGTGGGACAAATGATGCAGCAATGAGCCCCACACTGCGGATGTTGACGTGAATAGGGGTGCAGTTTTCACAGGAAAATACAAGGTCATCTCAGTTCAAGTTGTAATCAAGGCAGAGCTTCTGAACCAGGGTGGGAGGGTCCCCAGGGAGCCTGGATTCAGGGAAACCTGGGTTGGAGTGCTTCTTGGTAGCCACAGGCACTCAAGGTCCTGGGGAGATCCACCCTCCACCCCTGCCACCCCCAAGGGAGGCTGTCTGCTCTGCCAAAAGCCTGAATTTCCTAAAATGGCTCCAGTATCCAAGGAATCCCTGGACAGACACTTTCCAGATGGACTTTAGCTGCTGACTATTAACAGTCCCAACTGTTCCACACATCTGCTTATAGGAGATCTCACTGGCTCTGCTCCCTCAATCAGCAGAGATGAGGACACCTCACCCCCATAAATCTTGAGATTGGTGGCTTCTTATTGCCCTTTAGCCCTGCATTCACTCACACACACACACACACACACACACACACACACACACACACGTGAGTGCACTAAGATTATCTCCTTGATCTCTGGGCCATGAACTCTGGGCAGAACCACTTGGACAATGGTTACTCCCCCAAATCTGAAGAACTGTACCCCTTAGCCAATGTTTCCAATAAAAAATCCTGCCGTTTAGTATAGGTTTATTCTCTGTCTGAAATATACAGAAATGTAATGGTCTCACGTGTGGAAAGGGTGATGATCAGCGCTTGTCTGATGGACCGGACAAAACTGAACCTGAACATTTCTTGAGGTTTCTTCCATTCCTAGAATCTCATGATTCTGAGATCCTTCCAAATATACACACTCAAAGTGAGTTTTTCTAAAAACAAATTGGATCTCACACAAAGTTAGTAACAACTGAACCAAGTACAGAATTTTACTTGGTTCTGGCTCCAGGAGGAACTTGATAATTTACATTTTAGGTGAAAACTCTTCTCCCCTTTAAATACTGCATAAAAATGGCAAGATTCTCGACTGACTAGTAATGTTACCGTAGCAAACAAAGGGGAAACTATGAAAATCTGACACAGAAATATGTGGCCTGTTATTCAAAAAAAAGTAAATGCAACAAAAAGAAGAAAGTTGGCCTCATCCTCCATCCCAAAGCACCATGCAGCCCATGCCAGCCACCAGCACAGCCCTCTGGTCCTCTCCCACCAGGCAGGCCCCTATCTTTGCTCAGTTCTTCCCAAGCCTTCAGCGCTTCCTGTCCCACTTTGAAGGCATGGGTTTCCTCGTCTGTATTCACAGCGTGAATTCACAGTGTGAATTCTCCTTTCTGAGGACTTCTGAAGCCCGCCTGCCCTCCAGGCCAGGGGGAATTCATCTCTCTGTCTCAGGTTCCCAGTCCTTCGTATGAGGAGACAACTGTCAACACCGCTGGCTTATCTTCCCTCGTGTGGTTTGTATATGTGTCTGTCTCCGCGGCTGGGATTAGACTTCCGGAAGGCAGAGATGCAATCCTATCTGTGGACGCTTACACAAGTAGACACGTTTGAACATTTTAATGAAGTTTAAGTGAATTGAAGAAGGGTGACAATACCTCCACTCTAGGTTTCTCTGTATATACCACAGACTACTTGGAATGTCATATAAGAGTGGGGGTGACTTAGCAGATATTGTCAGGGTTTCTCAGCCTTGGCACAAGAGACGTTTGGGTCGGATCATTCTTTGGTGTGGGGACTGTCCTGTGCATTGCAGGGTGTTTAGCAGCATCCCTGGCCTCCACCCTCCAGATGCCGGTAGCATTCCCCCTCCCCTCAAGTTGTGACAACCACAAATACCTGCAGACATTGTCCATGTCCCTTGGGGTCAGAATGGCCCCAGTTTAGAACCACTGATGTAGGTGATTCCCGAAGGAGAGGGAACCTTCCTGAGAGGAAGTATAAGGCACCTTGCCCAGTGAGGAGCTGCCCAGACCTGCTCCTTACTCCTATAATCATTATTGTTTTAATACATCAGCAGAAGGCAGCTGTTTATAGCTTCTGGACAAATATTTTACTCTGACAGGCTGTCACTGACAGGTTGCCAAACACTGGAATTTTCTTAAGTGGGGTGTGGAAAGAGAGAACAGGGTAAGGCCCATCCTCTGTGAAATATGAATATCTTTTTCTGGGAGGTTGTCGTCTTGGAGACAGCACAACAGCTACTAAGAGGTGCCTGGGGTCATGCCAGGAAGACAGAACAGGCAAAAAATAACAACAACAAAAGCTGAAATGAAAGACGTTTTTTCTTAGCAGGATGTGGGGAGACATCACTCTTAATAAATCAACACATACAAACTCAGGGAAGGTGTTCACCTATTTTGGCACAAGCCACAGAGCTGTGGGTGGAGATGGTTGGAATATTTTCGGTGTGCAGGGAGGTAACCCCACGGGTCATCCCTTTGGCCTCCAGATGCTGGGGCCATCCAGCAGCCAGGCGGCAGCCCACAGGCAGGTGGAACTGTGATGAAGTGCGTTGGCTCGAACATGGCAAAGTGTTCGGTGTTGGCACAAACCCCCACCCTTGCTTTTCTTTTACGCTGTGACACTCTTTCATGTCAGGGAACTGAGTCTGAGTGAGGCCCCAGTGGCCGTGATGGACTCAAGGTCCAGGGCCCGGGAGAACTGCGGGATTGTTTTTTTCCTCGCTGAGGTGTTAAAGATTGGTTTGTGAAGCAGTGACTGAGGCATTACACATTAATGGTTGCACAGGGACTTTGATTCCATGTATCTCATGCTGATGTAGAAACTGGAGCTGTTATATAAGGTGTTGACTCGCTGCCCTTTCACGCAAGCCCCCCTCATCACATCATGTACCTCCCGGGGCCTGGGGGTGGGGAGAGTTGGGGGGTGGGGAGAGGGGGAGTGAGGCCTGCAGAGCTGCAGAGGCGGGACGGCTGAGGAAAGGCCTGAGGTTTGGGGCAGCGCATGTTAGCACAGCTGCTGAGAGGACGTCTGCCTGCAGCAGTGATAACCACCTGACTGCTCTCACCTTTGATTTCTGTTGGCTGCCTTCAGATGTGGGGAGCCAGCTGGGGGCCTCTGATGAGAAAATCAAAGATTGGAGGCAACAAACAGGTTGTCGATACCACACGCTCCTCTCTGACACTGAAAGAGAAACTCTGCTGAGATGCAGTTGGACTTAGCAAGGCCCTGTTGCATCAGGAGCAAACATGGGAACAAGGGCAAGAATGACATGAAATACAGTTTCTGCCCTGAAGCACAGGTGCTGAAGGAAGATTTTGCACTTCTAAGGACGAGTCTGCAAAATAGGTACTGAAGGGGACGTGGGATCTGGGTGAGGGCAAGGTGGCCGCACCCGGGATGCGGGGACCCTCTGACCAGGACTGAGGGGCCCAGAGGAGAAGGAGGCTATGGGCACAAGTCAGTTCCGGGGTGACAGTCCACCCTGGATAGCCCTGCAGACTCTTCCCTGCTCTCAGTCCCTCAGCCTTGCCCCCAGATGGGGCTGACGGGCTCCCCTGGAGCAGCCCTGGGGAGGGCAGAGCTGGCCGGGACAGACATTCTCTTCCTCGGGAAAGCAGCCGGGTGACTCACAGATTCCAGGCAGGGAGCGCTGCACGTCTAGACTCAATTCTTGCTGTGATGCATGCAGGCTGCCTCCACACAGTTAGCAAAGTCCCTCTGGTCGGGCCTCATGGGGCCACACCCAGCACTTAGTTACCCCAAAGCACACTAAGCAGACAAAGCCCTGGAAAGTGGGAGGAAAGAATTGGAAATAATTTCATATTTCAGAAAAAAATATTGAAGTGTTCATCACGGGAAAAATCAGAACGTTGTTAGTGTCTTTACACATTGTACGGCCGGGCAGTCTCTCACTTCTGCGTGTGCTGGGGCCACCGTAGCCCCTCCTGCCCTCTCCGTCCTGCTCTGACCCTGGCTCCTGATGACAAGGCCACCCTCCCCTGCTCAGCAAGGGGCCTGGAACAACGGCCACATCCCCAGTCCCCTCCATGGTGCTGGAAGGTCTTTCTAGGGAGGTGTTGGGATCTTGCCGCAGCCCTGCAGATGTGAAGATCCTGTAGTTTTTTCTAGAACGTGCCCTTGAAGGCAGACGTTGACTCTGGCAGCCAATGCAGGACCCTTCTCCCCACCTTGTGCCCCAACACCCACTTCCCAAGGGAGCAATTAATTAACTATAGTCCTGATCACCAGAGGGAATGTCTTACTCAGCAGCATCCCATGATGATTCTCCCAGTAAGAGAAACGATGGGAACCTGAGACCAGGGCTGCTGCCCTCTTCCCAGAAAGGGCAGAGCTGCCATTTGCTGACCACCCTCCTGTCCCAACGGGCCCTCCTTCCCCTTTGTGACACTCTCCCATCCTAGGAGCACCTCCCTGACCCTGTGACTTTCTGTGTCTCCCAAGTGCAATGAATCTTTGTCACCTTGCTTCTGTGCCTGAGATTTACGCGCCCTCTTTTCGTTCTGTCACTGCCTGGCTGAATGATGGGGTATCTGACAGGGCAATCTGGTCTCTTCTTCCGGTTCCCAAGTACAAGATGCACCTTCAGGGCTGATGACCCTGTTCATACCCCAGAATGAGGAGTAACTCCCATCAGCTGGCAGGGAAAGACAAGGCTGGGAGATACTGCCCTAACGGGGAGAGCTCTTGGGGAGAGCCAGCTTCCTAAAGTTAGCCCATGTCCTGACCCGTGTCCAGTATCCCCCCAACAAAGCCAGGTGACAATATCTTCTGGCTCCTCTGTTCCGCTTCGGCTCACCAGGCGGAGGAGGGGACTCCAGCCAAGCAGAAGGCAGCATGTGGGTCCTGGCTTTGGCCCGCTGTCAAGATTCCTTCCAGTCCACTTGCTCCCTGGTTGCTTTCTTTGTTGTTGTTGCGGTACGCAGGCCTCTCACTGTTGTGGCCTCTCCCGTTGCAGCGCACAGGCTCCGGACGCGCAGGCTCAGCGGCCATGGCTCACGGGCCCAGCCGCTCTGCGGCATGTGGGCATCTTCCCGGACCGGGGCACGAACCCGTGTCCCCTGCATCGGCAGGCGGACTCTCAACCACTGCGCCACCAGGGAAGCCCTCCCTGGTTGCTTTTAATCAGTCAAAGCCCAGTGTTCCAGATGAGAAAGGAGCGGGGAGGGGAAGAGGCTAAAAACTCTGTTCAAGTTAAAGCAGGATTTATTGTAATTGCTTGTTCATGCTGACTTCCAGCACAGTGCCTCATACATTGTGGCTCAAATTTAGTATTTCTCATCCATGTCTCATCAAAACCTGACGGTCCCTGAGTCTCTTTCATTTCCACAGAACCCTACTTTGGTGGGAGCGTGGCAGGGTGGGGAGGCAGGGGCTCAGTCTGGTAAGTGACTCTGGGCTCAGAGATTAACGCTGGTTAAGTATTAGTGTACTTCCCCTGCCAGGTAAAGTGGTATGGTAGATAATTTTTGGTTTGGGCTGGCTGTGCCCTGAGTCACCTCTGGGAATTACTTCTTCCACATACCAGCAGCTGTTAGTCGAGGTGCGTGCCTGCCCCTGGCCCAAGGTCAGGCACTCAGATTTTTTGAGGTTAGTCAGATCTGCCTTCCCTGGAATCCGAAATTGGAGCAAAGTCATCAAAAGACAGAATCCAATTGGAGGTCATTCCTTATCCACAGCACTGTGCCCAGGTGACACTGGTGAGGGGTTCTTGTGTCTTAGACCGTTGATTCTGTGCTGCTTCCTGCCCATGAAGTTCCTCAGTTCCTGTCCATTTTGTCTTGGTTTCTGAGCCTGGTTTCCTAGCCATTGAGAAATTAGCTGTGTTTCCAGTAAATTCCCTTTTGGTGTAGATTAGCCAGGGTTGGTTTCTGTTGCTTACCACCCAAGGAGCCCTAATTCACACGCACAATGAACCTGGGTTTCTGAGCATCCCTTAAGTCACACTTGGTTTCAGAATGTTGCCCCAAAGTTGAAGCCAGGGAAGTCTTTTCATTTACCCAGACTCCATAGTAATCATCTCCCAGCATCCATCTCTTTAGTTGCCAAGCCCATGCTGGTTATTAGCTGACTATGGTTTCTAACCTGCCTTTTGGTTTCTTGCAGTATTCTTTTACTCAGTTCAGACTGGGCCAAATCTTTCCACCCTGTACCTGGGGAACAGACTTGCTTCCCACGTGTTCTGCTCCTTGATGCTCCTCAAACACACACTAGGGAAATGCAAACTGGGACAATATTTTTGCAAACCAAAATTGCAAAACCATAATCAAGAGCTTTTAAAACATTCTTTCTTTCTGAACTAGTAATTCAACTAATTGAGGACTTTATCCTAAGAAAATTTTCAGAGAAGCAGAAAGATGACTAAGCGTATTTATTACATTATTATTTTGTAGTAGCCAAAACTTGAAGACAACTTAAATGTCTAGCAGCAGGGAAATAAACAATGGTCTGTTCATATGATGATTTGTGATACACCCATTCAAAATCACAGTTTTGTGGAATATTTAATGCTATGAGGAAACTCACACTATCTTGTGTACCAGGTGTAAAAAAACCAGGACACAAACCTGTAAGTACGGAATCATCTCAATCCATTTTATTCAAATTGGGAAGGACTGCACCAACATATTAGCAGTGGTTATCTCTTTATGGTTTAGTAGGGAACCCTCTGAGGTAAGAACTATGTCTTACTTAAAGTTAAAGCTCTAATTCCTAGCTCAGGTCCAGTCATATAGCTTGCCTGGTGAAGTAATGAGGAAGTTTCTTTTTATTTTTCCATAATTTTCATTTCTTTTAAGTAATGAATGTGCATTCATGTAAAATCAGAAAAAAAACATTTTAGGCAATAAAGCTTCAGTGCATGAGGTTCATTGAAATCCTATTCATGCTTTAGGGTCCATATGGCAGTTTTAAAACATGGTAGCAAATATTTGATTGCTCCTTCTTAAGAGAGGTGGGGTCTGTGTCTCCTCCCTTTAAGTGGGGCTGCTTCAACCAATGGGCATAGTGGCAATGATGTTCTGTGACTTCTGAGGCTGTCATAAAAAGCCATGCAGTTTCTGCCACATTCGCTGAGGGTACTTGATACTGATGCCCTGAAGTGCAGTGTAAGAGCTCAACCACCCCAAGGCTGCCATTTTGGAGAGGGCATCTAGGGTGCTCTGGTCGGCATTCCAGCTGAACCTGTCCTTCATTCCAGGTGCCAGGCACATGAGTGAAGAGCTACCTTGGAAGTGGATGCTTCCAGCCCCCTGTTGTTTGAGTCACTGCTAGCCAACTGGGGTCCAGACACTATGGAGCAGAGACAGGCTGTCCAAATTGTGTCTCATCCAAACTCCTGACCCACAGACTTCCTGAGCATGATAAAATGGTGATTGTTTTATGCCACTAAGTTTGAAGTGGTTAGAGAGCAGTGGATACAAAAACATTTCTCCTTAAACTCCCTCTTTGTGAAGCCTTTCCTGATCCTTCCTGTCCTTCCCATAATTCCATGTCCTAAATTAAAATTAGTCATTCCTGTTTTCCAAAGCCCTTCTCTATACCTATATCGAAGTACTGACTCATCTTGCCTTTGGCTTTCTCCAGATGATGAGTTCCTTAAGGGAAGCAACTGTGTGAGTCACTTTTGCATCCTCAGGGCAGTGTCCAGCACATGGAATTTAATTGATGGTCCTTCTATTCCTTTTTCTATTAGTATAATGCACAAGAGAGACAAGAATTGACAGAGAAGCCAAATTTGGTGTGTGCCTCAGGCTTTCATGGAGTTCTGGCTATCTCCATGCTTCTGGGCTGCAACTCAGTGCAGCAACGGGATGCACTGGGATGGCACTAGGCCTGTAAACCATCCCGATTCTTAGTTTACTCAGGCTGCCATAACAGCGGGGTGACTTAAACCACAGAAACTTATTTTCTCACAGTTCTAGAGGCTGAAAGTCCAAGAACAAGGCATTGGCAGGTTTGGCTTCTTCTGAGGCCCCTCTCCTTGGCTTGCAGACGGCAAGTCTTCTCACTGTGTCCTCACATGGTCTTTCCTCCATGCATGCACATTCCTGGTGTCTCCTCCTCTTCTTTTTTTTTTTTTTCTTGCGGTACGCGGGCCTCTCACTGTCGTGGCCTCTCCCATCGCGGAGCACAGGCTCCAGACGCGCAGGCTCAGCGGCCATGGCTCACGGGCCCAGCCACTCCATGGCATGTGGGATCTTCCTGGACCGGGGCACGAACCCGTGTCCCCTGCATCGGCAGGCGGACTCTCAACCACTGTGCCACCAGGGAAGCCCTCCTCCTCTTCTTATAAGGATACAGTCCTATTGAATTAGGGTCCCACCCTTATGTCCCCATTTATCTTTACCTCTTTAGAGGTCCTGTCTCCAAATCCTGTTATAATTGAAATTGGCGCTTCAACATATGAATTTAGGGTTGGGGAGAACACAATTCAGTCCATAACACAGTGGATTCTTACATGCTCTGTAATTTACACTCCCTGTAGTTTACACTCCCTGTAGTTGTAGATGTCAGTGAAAAGGATGAATGAGCTCAGTGATCTACATTCTACCCACAAGTACTTTTCTGGCTGTAAGTTCAGGCTTATGCTGTTCTTGCTCCCATATCCCTTTACATGATGACCTGCTTAGGGGATAGACATCTGTGATAACTTGTCCTTCTCCACAGCCAATGGCAAGATCTGATCTCAGGTAGCTTTTGTTTGTTTGCTTGTTTTCTGTTTGGTGCCCAAGGAAACCACAGACAAATCTTCAGTATAAGGCAGTGCTGACTGCAAAGTGACGCACGACATGCCACTGTGTACAAGTGGGTGCTCTTCTGTTGCAACCTGGTCAGTTTACAATAGCTGAATAAACAGCATCTAAAAAGGGGCTTGGGAGGGAAGCTGTCATCAGCAGTCAGAGGATGATTTAAGGACATGCAGGAATGCCAGGAGCTAGGGTGACTGGCAGCTAGTCTTTAGAACTTTTCTTCGCAAATTAATTCCTAGCAATGTCTTTTGTTTTGTATCACATTCCAAACATGAGAGAGAGAGAGAGAGAGAGAGAACACAATCTTCTACTGAGTTGAATTGGACTTGGAACTATTTTACATCCATATCTGTGAGCCACAGGTGCTGAATAAGGCATGGAGCAAATATTCAAGGTCATACACTTGCCCTTTGCAATTCAAATTAAAGCGCACCTACCTTGCAATTTTTGCCCTTGTTTTCAGCTGGTCTTTGTCATACTACCTCACTGTCAAACCAACCCTCTCCCCACCCCTCTTCCCACCTTACTCTCACCTCTTAAGGAATGAGAAAACGTTTCTTGTTCTGATTCACGCTATCACTAAGGCATGTTCCACAAGAATCAATCAGCTTTCATTTTCACATAATGTAGTATGTTTACAATTACCAACCACCCTGGCTGCATGGAGTGTTCTAATATTATAATGTTCTTTATGTGAAAATCAGTTCTGAAATACATTTTTATCTGCCAGTTAAAACTGGTAAGAATTTTGTTCCAGTCTGTAAGAAGGCTGTATCCTTGCTCAGTACTATAAAGCCCTCAAGATTTCATCTTTCTTGAATTATCTAAAGGTAGGAAGAGATTCAATTTGTTAAGAGTCCTTGTTTTTGACACAAAGACAAATATCTGCTCCTGAGCTATACTTCACAAAGCAATGATTCATTTTAAAAACCTCTCAGGATCATGAATTCTCCAGATAGAAAAAATGAACCTAAAAAAATGAACCTAAGTCTTGCTTTCTTCATTAATTTTAGTATGTTCTCTCTCTGCTGCTTCACTTTAGAAAAGAGGTATAATTACTATCTCTATGAGTCAGACTCGTTGCCCAGCACCTGTTAGAAAATTAAAAAATATTTTCCCCACATCACACCACAAAGTGAGGCCATTGTTCTCATGCCGTTGCTGATGTTAATTCATTTGCCAAAAGGACTATATTGGAGGCTTTAAAAGCCATAGTGATAATGAAAAACCATGACTAGAGACTTTTCCAAATGCCAGTACATAAAGATAGTAACATGAACTTGATAAACTCTGATTTTCATTCTTTTTAAATTATTCGTAGATCAATAAGGGAGAGTCTGTTTCTCCCAGGCATGACGTAGCAGCAGATGCAGGCAGTTCAGAGTTGTCTTCTTAAACCATACCCCAGGTAGTTACTTAGGCGTTAGGTATGGAATTCAGTCAATGCTAATTACAGAAGGAGACTCAATATGTGTGAATATGTTATTGACGTAAGAGATTAAGGGATAATTGTAAGTAAGGAAAACTGATGTCATGACATAAAAACTATCCAGCTCAGGAAGGAGCAGAGTATAATAAAATATCTTTACACAGTCCATTTCTTGCCTAAATGCTGTATAAAGAGATAAAGCTCAAAATACTCTCGTTTTTTGGATAACAAATGTAGTGTTTGATCCCAATGCCAAACAAAGACCACTTAGATCATCACTTCTTTCAACTCTGCCATGCTTTTCATGACTTCAAAAGGTGTTTCTGTACAGACTAACTTGGAATTTACTTTGAATGAGAAATACAGGCTGCACAGTCACAGATTGTTTGGGGTAAGCAGGAGAGCTCTGCTAATACTCTCACCCAGCCCAGTGAATAGGTAGCATGTCCAGGCCTTTGCCATTGTGCACCGTGGGGGAAAAGCAAATGAGATGGTGCATGCCCTTGGCAAATGGTGATAGTAAGTGAAACAGAGTTTGGAAATGCCTCCAAAGTGAGGGATGCTGTTACTAATTTTTGTCTTAATCTAGGCTTTTTTGATTAAACGTATTTTTTATATTCTTCTTTTCCTGAAGCCATGAATCTATACTGAATGAATTAGTGGAGAATTCATTCAACAGGCAATATGTAACTTATGTTCTTCACCTCTTAAAGAAATTTCTTTTTTGATCCATTTCTTTGTAAATAATTATGAGTTCAACAGTTTATTAATGACACAGTCATTGGAGCTCCTGGGGTTCATTCAAAATGTGTTGGAGAATTGTTTAGAAGCGATTTGAAATCAGGTAACCAATGCTTTGTGGTCAAACACTGACTTGTTATCTGCAGAAAAGCAGGTTTTCATCTTCCTCTCTTTTTACAGTATTTAATGCAAGAAATTAACTATCTGGTACAGATGTTTCTTAATTTGTCACCTCAGCATAATGATTAGCACAAAGAGCTTAATAAATCTTTGTTGAATGAATGAATGAAGAGAAATAATATAAAGTTAAAAAGTATGGATAATTTTACTTAAAAATCAGCATTTCTTTTCAGGATTAATTTTAGAGAGCAATGTTTGTTCTAATTTGCTATGGACTAAAAATAACCAAAAAATCAAAATAAATAAAATATATCCTGGGTATTTTCCAAACAGAAAAATATATTCTACATTAAACACTATATGGATTTGCTTCTCCCAGAAGCAGATGACTGGAGGAAATTTCTAGCTTTAACTTCTTATATTACAAAAAAAGAGAAAGGTGGTCATTGGAATAATGGTAAATGAGGCCACTTTTGTTTCTATCCTTTGGTTCCCAGACCTCTGTATTCTTCTGACACAGTGCTTTATAGAGGTCTTCAATTCAGCACATATACTGCGGGGAGGGGATGTCCCCCCATCTCCACAGAATATTTACTGCCTTTAGTTTGCTGAACTAGATATGCTAAAAGATTCACCCAGTGAAAACAACCAGAATGCTAGACAAAATAACAAAGAAAACACTTTTTAAAGGCATCAACAGATGGCACAGAAGTATGGAATCTGCAGAAATCAAAAACAAGACAGAAGTAGCGACTTTGGGAGAGGAGAGCCAAAGCCAGCTCTCTCAGTATTTCTGCCAAAACCTGGAAACCTTGAACTTTTTGGAAAATGTTTGATAGTGGAGGGGAGGAGATGAAGCCTTGGGCCCATGCAAAATTGGAAGTTTTATAGGAGACTTTCAGATAAAGCTGGAATCTCAAAGGGCTTTACCTTCAGTTCAAAGGATGAGTAAAAAATAACCTGCTATGCAGGAGACAGCCATGCATCTTGATTTGATCTTTATGCTGGAGGAGAGTGGGATGAATTCTCACCTGAGAATCTGTACCTGCCGCCTGGCCCTCATGTGGCTTTTTGTATGAATTTATTTTATCTGCATCTGAAAAATTGAAAGAAGAGAATTTTAATATAAGTGCACCAAGAATGTTTGTATAATCAAGAGCAAATGCAAATCTTTTATGGAAGAATGCAGTCTCTACCCAGGTCTCAAAGAATTCCTATAGATAAAGTTCCAAGGAACTTAAGCTCACATAAAAACACACATAGGCATATTCTGCCCTTCCCCCCACCCCACACAAGAAAATAAAGCACCATGAGTGAGAACCAGCAGAAACAGGCAGAAAAATCTGATCTGTAAAGATGATCAGACACAATATAAAATAAGCATGTTTGGTATGTTTAAAGAAATGAAAAGTTTGTGAACAAGGAATAAGAGAATTTTTAAAAAATATCTAGCAGATTGGAGAAAAATTGAGTAAAACTTTTAGAATGGAAAACTGCTTTATGCAGAAAGATTATGAGGCCAAATGGAGGAAAGTCTGAGATGCAAGAACAAATGGTGAGCAAAGAAATTGACGAACATTGACTACATATAACAATAATAGTCATGTCTAATTTGTGAGGTTAAACAAACAAGATATAATTCAAATATGGTCAAAATATAATATAAATTGGAACACTGTGAAAGTTGTAGTTATAATATTCTAAGGTACTTGTATTGTTTGGGTGAAGCATCAAGAGATTAAGTAAGCATGTTAAAATGTCTGGGTAACTCCTGGGACTTCCCTGGTGGTCCAGTGGTAAAGAATCTGCCTTCCAATGCAGGGGACACAGGTTCGATCCCTGGTCGAGGAACTAAGATCCCACATGCCATGGGGGAACTAAGCCTGTGCACCACAGCTACTGAGCTCGCATGCCTCAGCAAGACAGCCCACGTGCTGCAAACTGCAGAACCTGAGAGCTCTGGAGCCCACACACCACAACCAGAGAGAGAAAACCCGCACGCCGCAAGTAGAGAGAAGCCTGTATGCCACAATGAAGACCTGATGCAGCCAAAAAGTAAAAAATAAAATAAAATAAAATATTAAAAAAAAAGTCTGGGTAACTCCTAAAAATAGTTGTAGAGAGAATTACTTCCAAAGGGACAGAAGTAGGGCGTGATGGTGGGAATAAGAAAAAGAAACGAAAAAGGAAAATCTATTCAGAAGATGGCAAATAGGAAAAAAAGAGAGAGAGAGAGTGGAAAGCACATAATAAGATGGTAGGAATACATCAAAGGAAGAAGAGCAAAGACAGAGTCTTAAGATACTTTGCTCCAAAACAAAACAATGGGAGTCCATACACACTCTAAAATGTTCATTCACTCTATAATTTCATACTGTTAACAATGAAAAAAGAGCATAAATGACTTTTGAGAACGAAAGGCTTTAATTTCAACCATCTCAAGTACAGTAGTAGTTCAGCATATCAGAGACCATTCAGCTTATCAGAGAACAATGTTTCCCATAACAGGGCTTTTAATGGGATATTCGAAGGGGCTGCGTCAAGGCCTTCTGTTTTATATTAACTTTATTTAAAGTTAAAAGAAACTTTAACTTTTGAAGATCTACGTCTCAAAAATGGACTTTTATATACAATTTTTAGGAGCACTTTTATGATTACTAAATTTAGAACATGTTTTTATTCTTATAAATTTTGACCTTTGTCTTTATCTGGAGAGTTTTATCTTGTGAACAGCTGTATAATTTGTTATTTCTCTTTCCTTCTGTACCAGTCTTAATACTCTTTTTCTCCTTTGTCTGTGTTTAAAAGAAACTGCTTTTTTAAGGCTATAGCTAGGACACCATATTCTAGAAATAAATCAGGAAGCACAGGACCTAAAGACTTAATATAGAAAATGACATATTTTAAAAAAAGAAATGTGAGGCCGATAATATTTTGCTTCTACAGGATGCTAAATCACTTCCTAGAGGGGCCTCATAAGATTGTGCAGTAGATCTTTCCTTAGGTCTGTTTTGTTATTTCCTATATGCTACTTTCTTTCCTTTGTTCTGTAATGCTTTTTTCATAGCTTCTAAGCTGTTCCTTCCTTCCTTCCTTCTTTTCTGCCTTCCTTCTTGATTGCCCACTCTCAAATGAAGCTAGATCTTTATTTCAACAGATAGGTTACAGAGACATCTCTCAAGTTTGCTCTGGAATGAGGGTAACATCCCTTCTCAGAGACAAAACTTGGGAGTGGGGGGGAAGGTGATGTACTTGGTCCCTGGTCCAGTTTTCAGCTTACAGTGCCTATTTGCCAGTCCAGGCTTTGTCACTTCCTAGCTGTGTGACTTGGGTGAGCTGCTTAACCTCTCTATGCCTCAGTTTTATCATCTGTAAAAGGAAGCTAATAAATATGTTAACCTCATACGGTTTCTCGGAGCATTAAATGAAATACTTTTAAAGCCCTTAGTGTTGTACATTGCCCGTGATACACAATAAATGTCTGCTATTATCATTTTCTTTATTATTATTGCTACTGCTACTGCTACTGCTAGTACTAAACTGTTGTTACTGCTGCTACTACTACCCCTACAAGTACCATCAGGTGTATTTCTCTACCTGGCTGCTCAGCCTCTGTTGTGCTGATCCACTGCTATTTGAGAGAATCCCACTTCCTAGGGTATAGTGCATCACTGCCCATCTTTCCCTCCTCACCACCACTCAGACACGATTCCTCTTTTCTTTTAGGAATGGCCATCTCAGAATGTTCCCAGCAAAGTAGCTTGGGTGCCTTGAGGGGCAGCACCCATGTGGCACAGCAATGGGGGGCCAGGCTCTTGCTGTGACTTGGTTGTCTGTGTGCTGTGCGTATGTGACCTTTTCTTTTCCATCACAGGGCTTTTAATGGGATATTGGAAGGGGTTGCATCAAGGCCTGTTAGATGCCATGCCATTTTACACTGGAAATCTACTTTCTGCTTTTAAACCAGGGACACAAAGTGTGGGCATAAGCCTGATGCCTGTGAAGACCTCCTCTTTCACCAGGCAAGGAGGACTCCATGGTTTTTATTCATGCCCTTTTGGTAATGAACGAAAACCCCTCAATCTAACCTGCAACGAGACCCTGATCCTAACCTGCGTTAACTCAAGGAGTATAATAGCCTCATTTTTACACACATTTAGATAAGTTAGAAGATCTGAGGTAAATTATTCCCTCAGGAGTACTAGGACCAAATCCAAAGGCAGCCAAGGAAAACTGCTGAGACAACATTCTCATCATATTTTCAGGAAAGTTCAGAACCTTTACAAGAAGAGCTGTCCTGAAACTCATGGTATTACATTTAGAGTAAGGTTTGCATTAAACTTTTAATGACTGAGTTTCAATACTGTATGAATATACAATTTCTTCATTAAAAGTTTAGCTGCTTTTACACTAAGGAAGGTCAGAAGAGGCGTAAACAACAAAAATAAATAAATGGACAGTTCATAAAGATGTTGTGGTTGAAATACAGTCAGGATCATATACTCAGTCAGGTCACATGCCCTCAGACCCAGCCAGATGCTCACCCTTTCTGGTGTCTTTCCAACATCTGTCCCAATCCTGGAGGGGTTGGATGGTTGCAGAGACTCTGGGCATCTGGGGGCCATTGATAATTAAAGAGTGCACCTATTAAGTTAGTATTAGAAATATTTGGGACATCAGTAATTAAAGTAGGAATAGCAATATAGATTCTATATATATATGCTATTGAAATGCATTATTACCAGTTTAAAACATCAAATTACAGATGTTTTGACAAACATTTTCAAGGGCCTTTAATACATAAGCAAAATAAATTCTCATATTGGTTGTATGACTATATTTGATCATAAATAATAAAATCAAAACATGGAAAAATATCTCTTTCCATCAAATAGGGCCATCTTTCCCTACCAATACACTGTGTCCAGGGCACAAATGGTAAAAACAAGTATAATCTCTTTTCCCCAAGTTAATGTAATGTACATATCGAGAATTTGACGACATTAACGGTTATTGGCTCAGAGTTTCAACCACGTAGTTACAAAGAATTTAAGCCCTCCCTGACCCCAAACTTGATCTTTGTTTCTCACATTTCTCTTCACTGCTTCTCCTACTGCTGCCAGCTGGATATTGAAGGAGAACGTTTTCTTCTTGGTGATTGCAGGTCTGCCTTACACTGCATAAAGTGGATGGGCTTGGTCGGTTCTGGGGTCTCTCCGGTTAACAGTATATTAAGAGTTCCATGGGGACATGGTCGCAGAGAACCACAAGGACCCCACTGATGCTGCACTCAGAAATTTCCTCTTCTGTGATCTGGGCTTATGACCAGAAGAGGCAGGAGGTGGCTCTCAGGTCCTCTCCTTGACATTGGGAACTCTTGGGTGGAGGCAGGCCCAGGGAGGGGAGCCCAGCCTCTGTCTTGGATCTGAGGTCTGGGAGTCCAACCCTCTGACCTGAGGTACCCTACTAAGTTATGCCCAGAAGGTCTAATGCTTCAATGCAAACAAGATTCTGGTTGACTTGACTTGCTAAGTTAGAACAGTGGCCTTTAACATGGAGTATGTGTACCCCAGGGGTATTTGAAGGGGTTGATGATCTTAAGTTCATAGAGCTTCCTGGATTTCCCTAACTTATAAATATTCCTGTTGAAATAAAGTGTCATGCTAGAAATGATATTTTAGTCCACGCTAGGATTTTCTGAGTTCACATACAAGTAGATTGTAGCCATGGGAATTAGACAATTTTGGACTGATGGGTCTCTTTTTTTCAATGCCTTGGCTTTGTCAAAGTATGCATTTGGACGACAGTCTCATGAAAGCAAGGCGAAAATAACACTAGTAAGAAAGGCTGACTGTTAAAAATTCCCCTTCCTGCAATGCATTTAAATATAAGCAGCTCTTTTCAGGTCTTCTTTTTTTTTAAAAAAAAAAAAAGATAAATAAATAATTTATTTATTTTTGGCTGTGTTGGGTCTTCGTTGCTATGCGTGGGCTTTCTCTAGTTGAGGCAAGCGGGGGCTACTCTTCGTTGCAGTGCGTGTGCTTCTCATTGTGGTGGCTTCTCTTGCTGCGGAGCACGGGCTTTAGGCATGTGGGCTCAGTAGTTGTGGCTCGAGGGCTGTAGAGTGCGGGCTCAGTAGTTGTGGCACACGGGCTTAGTTGCTCCGCGGCATGTGGGATCTTCCTGGGCCAGGGCTCGAACCCATGTCCCCTGCATTGGCAGGCAGATTCTTAACCACTGCACCACCAGGGAAGCATCTCAGGTCTTCTTGATATTTGTCCCCAGGACACTTCCTTATCTGAAAAGAAAAGAAACTTTAAATAGCAAAGCAGTATAGGTTAGTGTCACTAATTATTTTAAATGTAATTAGAATGTTTTCTTAGACTATCAAAATTTTGGAGATACACTAGGTAAACTTCCTATGACATCTTTCCACTTGGCACTTATTATTCTATGAAGTAGTTAAAACAATTTTTTACCAGATACTGTTTCAAATGTTTATTATAATACAGTAAAATCCTCATCTTATTTCATCATAAAATGTTTAATGTTTTCTACATCCTACTAATAAAAAGTAAATAAGATCCTATGTACAGATCAATTATTTTTGACTGCATCTACCTTCTTTTACATTAAATGTAAAGAGAAACATTAGATATTGATTCATGGTATCAAGAAATGCATTGTCAGCAAAACTTAACTTTTATACTTAAATTATTTGTCAAAATTTATAATATATTTATGTTATTTTTAATAGCAGTATATTAATAACTGTAGTAACAACTCAATCCAGAAGAACTTTGTAAAGTTATGTACATGCTTTTGTAGTAATTTAATATGATAGGAGAGCAATAAAAGGTTTACAATTATAAAAATATATTAAAGTAACAGTTTTAGTTTTAAATGTCCATATTTATAATATACTGGTTATCATTACAAGATCCTTTGCAACTATTTAAATTTATGATGAAATGTTTTAGATGTCAACCTAAAAATGTGCAAGAGGTACATATTTTAAAAAATTTTTTTTCAGGGTCCATTGGCAAAAAGATTGACCAACAATTCTGGAGGGAACATGTGTATTAAGTCCTTACCTAATCACTGCTATTAAATAAGGTAGTGGATTCTTTTCTCCCTAACTTCACCTCTTCTCACTAACCTCAGTTCTGTACTGAGTACCATGTGCCCCTTGGAAGAATAAAAAGATTCTAACTTTGAGATCCCATGAGATCCCAGCTTAAACGTCAACCATTTAAAGAGTCTAGTAATAGGGCTTCCCTGGTGGTGCAGTGGTTGAGAATCTGCCTGCTAATGCAGGGGCACGGGTTCGAGCCCTGGTCTGGGAGGATCCTACATGCCGCGGAGCAACTAGGCCCGTGAGCCACAACTACTGAGCCTGCATGTCTGGAGCCTGTGCTCCGCAACAAGAGAGGCCGTGATAGTGAGAGGCCCGTGCACCGCGATGAAGAGTCGCCCCTGCTTGCCACAACTAGAGATAGCCCTCGCACAGAAACGAAGACCCAACACAGCAAAAATAAATAAATTAATTAATAAACTCCTACCCCCAACATCTTAAAAAAAAAAAAAAAAGTCTAGTAATAGAAAATGGAAACCTGGCTGCCCTGGGTTTTAAGAAATTCTGCTTTAAATGAAAGAAGTAGTCACTTGAATCTTGACAGTAACCTTTATTCCCTAGAAATTTAAGGTTCCAGATAGGAAATTACAACTGTAGAACCCATTCACTTTAAGAAGGCAGAAGGCAGAAGGTGTCTCTTTAGATTAATGTGTTAGACCACATCAAGCTCACTTGGGAGAAAGGTGGATGTATCTTTCCATGGTGCCCAATGCAAAGCCAGATGTTCGTATTTTTCAGAAAACAAATATATTTCCAATGTTAAGTCATATGAAAGCCTCTACTTAAAAGTGCTTCAATATTCTAAATTATATGTCTGTCTAATTCTTGGGTTTGAATTATATTTATGAGAATTAATAGTAATAACAAATAACCATACAAGTTAAATAACAGCAGTAAGTATGTTAATAAAGAGTATTCAAAACTTTTTAATGGCAAATGAATTCAATCCCTTTCACTATTTTCTGGATTCAAAAAGATTAGAGAATATGGCCACCCTGTGGTATAATGAGATGAGCTGACTTAATGCTCACAGACAAGTGAGCATAGTGCCTTACTGTGTTAAATACAGATTTTGAAATTGAGAATCTGAATCAAATTCTCATTCAGTTCTACCTTTAAAATAAACTGATCTCGGTGTAATACTGCAAGTTACTGTTTTATATTTAAGTGATTGAGAACTACTTTCAGGGGGAATAATGATACTCTAATATTTCCTTCATAATTCTAAGAACTTATCTAAGTATTCTGTTTCACAAGCCTCAAAAGAAAACCAGTATTGTCGAATTTTCTTTTGGGAATCAGATATCCAAATATATACCATTATGAGATTAAAATGTAAGGTTATTCAATGACTTGCCAATGATCAAAATGAAAGTATTTCTACTGGATTTTTTTTTTTAAAATAACAAATCTCTAGTTCTTTTCAGGCTCAGAAATTTGGGTGATGATATAAGCTATTTATGAATATTGGCTGAATATAGATTTCCTTTAATTCACTAGTTTTCCTGGAGAGTTACAGATTCACAGTCAATAGGCAAAGAAGTAGAATTGAGTGCACTGGAAGCTGAGATGTTGAATGGGTCCACACGATGTGGGTAGCAGCGGTCTCAGATTAGGCATAAGGGAACCGAGTATGGCGAGGCAATTTCCATCTAACACTAACGCACAGCTCTGAGAGGTGGAATATGCCAGGGGCAATGGCACCACTGTGAGCAGTGATTCTCATACTTTAACATGTATATGAACCACCTGAGGGTCTCATTAAAATCTGATTTCATGCAGCAGGTTTGGGTGTGAGGCCTGATATTCTGCATTTCTAACAAGCTCCCAGGAGACACTGATCCTGCTGAAGCACTTTGAGTAGCAAAAATTTAGAGCACTGATACTGTTCTTCCAGTGTAGAAATGAGATGTGTGGCCAAGAGTTGGAGGCCCAGGCTCTCTTGTCAAGTCAGCTGTTAAGCAACTGTAAGAATGGAAAACTATTCAACATTTAAGGGACCTATTATCTCCTTCTGTAAAATTACAGGTCTGGACCAGAGGATGTGTCAGGTCCCTTCAGAACTATAAAATTTAAGGACTTTAAGATAATCCTTATTTTTATTTTGGCTGCTATCTTCTGTATTTTCCCTCATAAATGGTAAGCAAAAATCGGAAAGAAGTTTATTGCATTGTATCACTCCCAAAGCTCACCACTGAGTTGTGCTTTGCATTCTTTGAGCCAAGATGATAGCTATTTTTAATGTCAATTTCCACATTCTTCTCTCATAATTCTTAGAACACTATTCAGATTTGTAGTTTGCTTTAAGGAGAATTCTTATGAATACTGAATCTGTGGGTTAGTTATCTGTTGCCCAAATGAAAAAGTAGCTCCTATGATTTCACATTTTCAGAGAAGCTGTAATATTCTTAAATAAAGGGTGATCCTTTAATTGGAACCAATTTCATACACTGCACCCCTGCTAAGTGGCAATGGCTGGTAATGGTTTCAAAGTGCATTTAACAGGGAACAAATTCTTTCCCTTCTCTGAATAGAATTTGAGTCAGCTGCTTCCTGTTTATTCCCAGTATCAGCATCTTTATTCAGAACTTCATTAACTCTTGTTTGGACTACTTTACAAATCTACCGATTGGTGTTCCACCTCCAGCCTTTTCACTCTATAATTATTCCAATACAGCCCTGCCAGAGCTATGTTCCCAAATTTCAACAAAGTGCATGCCACTTCTAAGTCAAAATCCTGCTTTGGGCTCTTATTCAACACCTCCAAGCTCTGGGGTCAACCTACCTTTTTCAGGTTCCCACTACTTCCCTTCACCAAGTATTTTCTACATATCTATGACTCTGTTTATACATGTCCTCTACCTGGTATACCTTCTTCTATAAAACCCTCCTCCATTCTTCAAGACCTATTGTAAATTCCAATTCTTGCTTAAAGTGTTCCCTGATTCTTCCATCAAAAACTTGAACTCATATAACACCTTGTTTTTGATTCTCTTCCCAACACCTGCTGCCCTATATTATAATCTCTGCATACACTTCCTCACTGCCCTCTATTATACAATTCTTGGGCATCTGTAGTACATCTTAATTATTGTTGTAACTTTCACAGTGCTTTTTCAGTTCTCCATATCTGTTGAAGAAATGAGTGAATATATAATATAGCCTAAGTATTAAGGCTATATTATGAGGGTAAGGGGTTTTTAGTACATTTTTTACTCACTTAATGGATATAAAGCCTTATACTATATAAATGCTAGAGCAGAGAGAAAACTTTCAATTTTCTGGATCATGGTAAATATTGCCATAGGATAAGTGTGTTTCAGATTCAACTATTGTTAAAATTTTTTATCTGTTAATTCAGAATATACAAAGATGATATAATTTATATTTCAGATTCTAAAGATGCAACACAATTACACTGGCCTTACAATTTATTATTACACAGGGTTAATATTTTCAAAAGAAAAAGTAGAATTTCTTCCTTAAGATACCACAGACACTGCCTTAGGAATTCTTCCGTTATTGTTTATCATGGTTTGGGATCATTAAAGGTGCCCTGCGCAAGTTACAGTATACACTAATTATTATCTTAAAACATGAAAGTAAAAAAATCCATAATTACTGTGGGATTTGTGAACTTTGGACACACACCAAATTGATTTCCCGTGCTCAATAAGACTCAACATGATGGTTCGGAATTTTCAGCTACAGAGAATTAACCCTTTTAGGGTACTAGGTTGATCTATAAGTGCAATATTATAATAATCATAAGAACTTTAAAAGATAAAGCTTGAGAAAACTTGTTGCATAATCAAAAGGAAATTGGCTATAATCTGTAATATTACAAAAACTTTTAGACTAATAGAACATTAAAAGATCTTAGCTAACATAATTTTCAATATTAATTTCTCTTCCAGTCAATTCTATTGCCAGAAAATATAACTTTTAAGTAGTTCTGACTAACTATAGTCATTTAATTCAATAAACTTTTATAAAATAGTGCTTGAGAAATCTGTTAACTATAGAAAAATTCCCCCATCTTTGTCTACCAATCTAAGTTTAAGAAAAGAAACAAATAGTATTATAATTTCCTAAGGAATATTTTCTATGCTATTCTTTTCTTTTGACACCTATAAATTCTTCCACTGAAGTCATGGAAAATGTATGTCTTATAGGGAAATTAAAACTATTAGACTTAATATCCATTATATGCATTTGAGAGCCCTATTTTGCCATAATATTCACTGGTTTCTTAACATTCCTGATACTCTTTCATGCCAGGAGTTAATCAGTGCAAAAATCAAGGAAAGTTTGAATGTGTTCTTAACCCTCAGGTTACATACTCTAATGCTATTCTCTTTTCTAAGTGTCTTTCTTCAAAAGATATAAGCACACAACCTAGACTGCTTCAGATGGTCTAGGCTGAAATAAATGTAAATATTGTCTCTATGTTTATCCATGGAATTACCTCCCTGACATACGTGTGGAATATAATACAGCCTGACTGCAGATCATGATTCTATTCTCAGAGTGCCTATTTACCAAATTACTCATTGTAAAGTAAGAGTGTAACAACAAATTGAGAAACCAGGTTTTGCATGGATGGTCTGTATGTCACTTTTGAAAAGCTTATGGGTGATGTTCTTTACAAATTTAAATATGTTCATAATTTAGAAAAAATGTATCCCCATGGTTCCTGAAGAGAGAACTGAAATTGCAAGACTGTGGAAAAGCACGTATAATATGACAACAAAGACTGTTGCCCAAAATATTCTCCTGTGCTTTTACTAGAGTTTCCACTAGCTTTTGCCATCCGCCTTATGTCATGAGTATTTGTAATCTGAACATGCAAACACCAGATCAAAAACACTGAGGTCTGGTGGAGTAGCCTCCAGAGTGTGGCATGAGTACTGCTGGCATTATACAAGATAATTTTAGGGGGTATGTTAACAACATTTTGTATTTTAATAGATACATATTTATCTTAAAGTATATTAAACTCATTACTTTATTCCTCCTTGGGTCAAGCTTCCTTTTTATATAAATTTAAGTTTAAAAATTGAGTGCATTTAAAGAAAATATTAGGTAACCACAGTGTAGGTGCTTCTGACAAAAGTCATGATGGAGGTTTGGGACTCTCTGGTAAGCGCAAAAGTGAGGTGGAAAGGTTGGGTTCGGGTAGTAGTGGTTCTGGTTCTAGCTCAGTCACTAACTAGCTGTCCCACCTTAGCCAAGTTAGACTTCTTTGAGCATCTATTCCTTATTTGTAAAGAGACTGTTTCTCTTTCCCTCTAAGAAGCCGGCCGAGGTCGCTTGTACAGCCATGGCCAAGATTAAGGCCTGAGACCTTGGAGGCAAGGAGGAGCTGCTGAAACAACTGGAGGGCCTGAAGGTGGCGCTGTCTCAGCAGCGCGTCGCTAAAGTGACAAGAGGCGCGGCTTCTAAACTCTCCAAGGTCCGAGGTGTTAGCAAATCCATCGCCCATGTTCTCACCGTCATCAACCAGGAGAACCTCAGGAAATCATATAAGGGCGAGAAGTATAAACCCCTGAAACTGTGCCACGTGACGCCGGCTGAACAAACCCGAAGGGAACCTGAAGGCCAAGAGGCAGCTGCGGAAGGAGCCACACCCACCATGCAAGTGCGCGATCAAGGACTGAGCATCCAGGCGTCAATAAAACACGAACAAACTGGCAAAAAAAAAGAGAGAGATTGTTGGGGTTGGCCTCTAAGATCCACTCCAGCGCCACCATTAGATGACGTTATGTTCTCCTGTCAAATGCATTATAAGTACGTCAATCTCTGTAAAACAAAAGCAAGCATTGTTAAGACTTTATACACGATGTGCTCACTTAAACTAGTCAGGGAAGTTAGTGGTGCTAATGTGGAATTTTTTGAGGTTAAAACACCCTAGATTAGATAAATCCTTTGAAAGATTGGATATAAACTTGATTTTGATTAGTAAATTTACTTTTTTTGCACATGGAACGGATTCCAAGTACCTTTGGATTCTCTCATCTATATGGTGGCCAAATAGCAGAATTTTAAGTGCCATATTTCACACGTGTTAGTATCATTCTAATCTGGGAGTAAGAAGCCTGGATATCTATGATGCAGTCAGATGAAGGATTTGAGTAAAATCAGTCATGGAAGAGAAATACACTATTATTAGATGGATAAAATGATAAATAAATACTAGCGTAAGGTAAAGAGCTGTGTTTTAAGAAACGGGAGGAGCCTGAAGCTTTAAGATTACGTAAAATAGCTGGTCTGCTTTCTGGTTTTAATTTTTCACTCTGAAAATAGAAAACATTTTAACAAGATGCCCATTTTCAGGGGCAATGAATTTGAATCCCAAATTAGCACTACATGCATCTACTAAACTGTCATGAATTAGTTCTCTACACAATGGCTCCAGAATACTAGTTAAAACCAAAATCTGACCTGGAATACCAAAAAGCATTCAATGCAGAAAATCTCTACCAAGTAATATTTTCACGGCCAGGCTCCTTGTTATCGAAAATAATCTCTATAGTTTGAGAAATAAACCACTTTTTTCTTGAATTGGAGTTTCTGTCCCTTTTTCTAGAGGGTCCCCAGACTGTCTTCCTAAAGATCACCTATCATTACTTCTGACCACACTTAAAAAGAAATTAGATTGGGCTTCCCTGGTGGTGCAGTGGTTAAGAGTGCGCCTGCCGATGCAGGGGACACGGGTTCGTACCCCGGTCTGGGAAGATCCCACATGCCGCGGAGCGGCTGGGCCTGTGAGCCATGGCCGCTGACCCTGCGCATCTGGAGCCTGTGCTCCGCAACGGGAGAGGCCACAGCAGTGAGAGGCCCGCGAAACAAAAAAAAAAAAAAAAAAAAAGAAATTAGATTAACCAGTTAGATTGTGAGGTGAAAAAGAGAAAGTTTTGATTATGAAGAACTTTGTGAATATTTGAATAAGCATTTTGAAAATTATCAAATTAAGGATTAAGTCCTTTCATTTTCTATTTGGAATACTAATTACATCTATTTAACCTATTCAGTTCAACAAACAAATGAACAAACACCAACAAAACCAATAAAATCTATTATTATTATTATTATTTTGTGGAAGTAGATCTGCTTGTAATGGTGCAAAAAAGTAGAAAAGATGCTATGGGTGAAAAATTTTACCTATGATCTCTAAAAGGGCATATTCATAGAGCACATCGAAACACACAATACATAAATATAGAAATTGGCCCTCTGGAATACCAACAACTTCATTATCTGTTGCAGTTTCAAAGGCCTCTTGGAAAATGTGGTTTCACAATTCTTTAGCTTTTCCAACTGTCTTGTTAAAAATATCTGTAAGTATGCATTCTTAATCTGTGGTAGTAATTTGATCCTTTTCATCCTCGTACAGTGAGTTTCTGGACTCTGGGAAAGACAGGCATGCTGTGTGGAGCTGCTCCTGACTTTGGCTCCATCACTGCTGACTCAGTCTCCTCTGCAGAATGACAGCCAGTCTCTGCCGGGTCTCACTGACTGAAGACGGTCGACCCCGGGGAGGGTGTGGCTGGGGGAGGGTGGGCAAACCTGAGCTGCTGACCCTGCTGGTCTGAGTTGAGGCTGGGGAAGCGGTGGGTTTCGACACTCCGTGCAGGCTGGGGATTTTGATTCTCATTTCGGAGTTCAGTCTTGCGAGCCTCTTCTCTCCCTGACTGCTGCTAGCTGCAACAGAGGAGGTTAGGCTGCCCTGGCTGAGGGAGCATGGTGATAGGGGTGACCGTCCGCCGAGCTTCCTGAGCTCCAGGAGCTGTTCTCTGGCTTGACTCAAAGCCTCCGTCAGTTCAAAGCGTTCTTCACACTCTCTACGCACTGTTTCCTGAAGAAAAGTGTTCTGCAATGAAAAAAAGGAAAGAAAAAGCAGCCCTAGCTTTAAACAGTGTACATATGGATAGTTACTGGCAATATAAATTGAGAACTGAACTGGAAATCAGAGGTCTATGTTCTTTGACAGGGATAAATAAGTCAAAAATGCAAATGACCTGTAAAGCTGGAAAGAACTTTAAGAGAACATTTGGTTCAATCCTCACAGTTTGCAGAAGAGGAACCAAGAGTCAGGGTCACTCAGATGATAGTGGTGGAGTTGGTGCTAGAACCCAGAATGTCCAATGCCTACTTCAGTGGGGTTTCAACTCCTCTGGGCCTGAGACAGTCTGTCCTGCACGTGTGACGTCTGTAGTTAATATCTGTAGTGCAATTAAGTATGTTATTTTATTTATTTATTTTAAACACATTTATTTATTAATTTATTAATTTATTTGGCTGTGTTGGGTCTTCGTTGCTGTGCACGGGCTTTCTCTAGTTTTGGCAAGTGGGGGCTTGCGGAGCACGGGCTCTAGGCGCACGGGCTTCAGTAGTTGCAGCACGCGGGCTCAGTAGTTGTGGCTCGCAGGCTCTAGAGCACAGGCTCAGTAACTGTGGCACACAGCCTTAGTTGCTCTGCGGCATGTAGGATCTTCCCAGGCCAGGGCTCGAACCCATGTCTCCTGCATTGGCAAGCGGATTCTTAACCACTGTGCCACCAGGGAAGTCCCAAGTATGTTATTTTATAATGAAGGGAAACTGCAGTACGTGACAGATAAAAATTGCTCGAATTATAAAATTGAAAGAATAAAATATATCAGCTCTAGCATTTAGATAATAAAATCAGTAATTTTATGTGATGCTTTCTCAGTAGAACTTAAATATACTGATGATCTGCTCTTTTGTAAGATATATATTGAAATAAAGAACAAAATCTGCTTTGAACTCCACTCGGCAATCATGTATCAAGTTACTAGAAGCTGTAGTGGATACAGTTCCTGCCCTCAAGAAGTTTGCAGCATCATAAGTTTGAGCAGAGCTGCTTTTTATGTCCCCAACACTGGTTGGAGCCAAGGGTGGAAGCTATGAGGGTTAAGAGAAGGAAGCATTTTTTAATAGCCAGAGCTGTCCAAGGATATTCTGAAGGGTTGAATCTCACTTGACTGGGAGGTTTTGGAGCAAATTTAAGCTTCAAGCGTGTGACTAGACTAGAGATCATTGCAACTTCTTCAAATGATGAGACTCTACATTTCTAGTTGAAGAATGATAGCCATCTTTCATCTATGGAATTCATCAAAATTACTTCAAGCCCCGTGGTAAGAATTAGGTCTTGGATCTCCCTAATGTCCTGACATTCATGGCTGCAGGATGTCAAAAAAGAGATTGAAAAGTAAACACTTCAAAATGGTATCCAAATAAGTAAACACAATTCAAGTGATTGTGCTGTAGGATTCTTCAGCTGAAAATGACTTTCCATCAGGTTAGCTTGTTTGTAAAAACAGCCAAGGCATTCCCAAGTCTGAGGCTCAGTGGAAAGCATCCTCCTAAGGGCTTACTGACTAATCTGCTGTCAGTGGAACTAAATAACAAAGCATCAGGGAAAGTAGCATCTTCCTGTATTTGAGTTTCTTGTGATTATGGTCAGAACTCCATCCAATTCCAAATTTGGTAATTAAAGTTGCAGAATATGGAGCAATTTCACATTAACCGTTGTACACTAATATTCTATAAAATCAGTGGCATGTCTGGGTCAAACAAAACCTCATCATTTACATATATTAGTAATAGACATATATGAGCCATATATTCACATTTTTTTTCAAATCATGGGGATTAATTACTTGCTTCCAGTTATTATTATTATTATTATTTTGGAGGAACAGGGGACCAAGGATGGTGTTTGTGGCTTTATCATCTGGTTCTCATTAACTGTTCCTGAAATACTTGTTAAAAAGGCAGGAGAGGGAGGGCTAGAGAAGAGGTTAATAAAGTGCCTTGTTAGGCTCCATCTCATTTCTTGCTCCCAACAATTATATTTGACAAAGAAAGACACTGAAGATCACACTGGTATGTAACTTGCTGAGAGTAACCCAGCTTTGAAATGGTGGGGTCCCTGCCTGCCTCCAGAGCCTGGCTCCAAGCTGCCTAGGCCTAAATTAATTGTCTAATTATATCAAGCATGCAGGGGCCATTTTGTTCCAGAACACTGAAGCAATAAAAAACAGTAAGACATCACATCTGGTTTTGCCCAACTTTTCTAAACTTAAACTAAACTTTCTTTTAAAAGGAAAAAGCATCAATGCATTTTGTTCCCCACTAGTAAACAGGCAAAATGTATTGAAGTGATTAGATTTACAGGGCTTTAAATAAGTTAGTATAAAAACTCTCTTGATTAAGAAAGCCATGGGAGGGCTTCCCTGGTGGTGCAGTGGTTGAGAGTCCGCCTGCCGATGCAGGGGACACGGGTTCGTGCCCCGGTCGAGGAAGATCTCACATGCCGCAGAGCAGCTGGGCCCATGAGCCATGGCCGCTGAGCCTGCACGTCTGGAGACTGTGCTCCGCAGTGGGAGAGGCCACAACAGTGAGAGGCCCGCATAACGCAAAAAACAAACAAACAAACAAAAAAAGAAAGCCATGGGAAAGAGTTAACTTTATGTGAATATATAAAAGAAAAAAATTATAGAAGTTAACAATGCGGTCAATAAATGGGTGACATGAATAAAAGATACACAAATATGGAAGGATAAAATGATGGGTGATGTGATGACAACGGCTCTCATTAAAAGAAAAATAAAATTCAATCCATTTACTAAAATTAAATTCAGGGACTTCCCTGGTGGCCCAGTGGTTAAGAATCTGCCTGCCAATGCAGGGGACACAGGTTTGAACCCTAGTCCAGGGAGATCCCCCATGTCACGGAGCAACTAAGTCCGTGTGCCACAACTACTGAGCCTGTGCTCTAGAGCCCGTGAGCCACAACTACTGAGCCCACGTGCCTAGAACCCATGCTCTACAACAAGAGAAGCTACCGCAATGAGAAGTACTCGCACCTCAACAAAGAGTAGCTAGCCCCTGCTCACCGCAACTAGAGAAAGCCCGCGCGCAGCAACGAAGACCCAACGCGGCCACAAATAAATAAATAAATAAATAAATAAATAAATAAATTCAAGTCTCAAAGGAAAGGAGTAGTACTCTATGGAAAACATCCATAAAGCAAGTCATTTAAAAGCTATTTTGGGCAAGTGACACTACACTGAAGGAGGAAATGGAAAGGTGGAGCGAACCCAAAGATGTCCCCATAACAAGTACAGTGGGAGCACCCATTCTACGTGTCAACTCCAGATTGAATTTTGGAAGAGCTGCTGACCGTCTTGGTCTGGGGCCCACTGCTCTGGAACTCATCCTTCTTCAAGGCTATCAGTTTCCAGAACAAAGGACAAATTCTCTCTTTTCTCTTATTCCCCAAACCAGGAGAACCTCTAAACTGAGAACAGGATCCAAAGATAGGACTTCTATTTTTATCTTTGTCATAAACACTATGAAATCTCAGATGAGTCTTACAATATCTGTATATCCTTTGCCACCATTACTTCCTCCTTTAAAATTTGGATTATAACTCAGTTTTGTATAACATGTAGTTCAGATGTTAGAATTTATTCAATCATGGAATAAACAAATGGAAATAGAACACATCCAGTTTAAGGGACTGCTGTTTCAGAGGTGGAGTGTGTGTGACAAGGCATGACAAGAGCACACGTGGATGTGGCCAGAGTCAAGGAGACACATTAGTGGAAAATTCCATCATATGTGGAAAAGAATCATTCACTCATGGTTAGATCGCTTTCAGCAATTTAGGCAAAATGTTTGTCTTTTGGGGTTGTTGATCTTTTTGTAAGGTTGTGTTGCTGCAGAATTTTAATATGTGTTTTCACTGAACAACACAGGAAAATGTCTAAGATGGAATATGTTCAGTAAGATGGAAATCATGGGCAAACATGAGTATAATCAGTGAAGCTATAGCATTCTAAATGCTTTAGGTAAAAGTATCTTGGCCATATTTTAGCATGGTAAAATAGTGTTATCACTGGATTGCAACTAGACTGTAAGTCAAAACGGAAAGGGAGGCATGAGTCAGGTGAAGAGGGACAGCGAGTACAAATTCCTGGAAGTGAGAGAGGGAGAGTCACATCTCGGGATGACACATGGCTTAGTGTGACTCAAGGGCAGAGTGCAGAATGGGAGGAGAGACCAGGACTGAGGCAGGCAGGAATAAGCAGGATCAGATCAAGGACGACTTTGACAACCTGCAAATATTAGAGTTTTAACTTAATTCTGAGGGCCATATGGAGTCATTGAAAGGTTTATTTCAAGCAGGGGGCTGGCATTGTCAAATCTGCAACAAAGGAAGACTGCTTTGCCAGCTCAGTAGAAAGTAGCCCTGAGTGGGCAGGATGGGAGGCAGGGAGGATAGGAGGCCAGTTTTCATGGAGGAGGTTCCTATCCCAAGGGCCCCTTGGTTAGGGTGGTCTAGGAGAGGGGGAGCTAGCATTCCTGGGTCCTTAACCTCTGCCAATTGGTTGAGAGCATTATCTATAGATATGTCTACAACATTTTCAGATGAAGGCCACTTTGAATGGACTTAAAATATGGCTTAATTGCACTCCCACTGGGAAAGTAAATTTCAAAATGAAAATATAAATTAGCTCACCATCTGTTTGAAATTTCTAATATTAAAAAATGGCCAATTTCCCCCACTCTTTGCAATGTAAGAGTGGTTTATTTTTATGTTTGTTTTCAATTTTATCCTTAGAGACAGCTGGATTGCTTTCAATTCCAAAAACAGTGGAAGAAGCAAGAGAAGGCTTTGCTGGGTAACTTGATCATTCTGAAGGTGAGAATTCCATTTCTGATGGCAATCAGCTGTATTTGGCATAATTTGGGGGGAACATGCCAGGAAGGCAAGTCCTCAGTGAAAAAGAAGCACAGATGGGTGTCTTTGTTCATGCTTTATTACACCCAGTTAGGTCTGAA